TGCCACCATGCCCGGCTAATTTTTTCTATATATTTTTAGTTGTCCAGATCATTTCTTTCTATTTTTTAGTAGAGATGGGGTCTCGCTCTTGCTCAAGCTAGTCTCGAACTCCTGACCTTGAGGGATCCACCCGTCTCGGCCTCCCAGAGTGCTAGGATTACAGGCGTCAGCCACCGCACCCGGCCCAATCATTCTTCATTTAAGTGGAGTAAATATTATTGTGTTACTCTGGGCTGCTTCTTTTAGTGGCTGTCTTTGTCATCTTAGTTTAATTTTGTGAATAAACCATCTTCTCTAGAGCTGATGTCCCCATCCTGAGGGTTGGGACCTACTCTTCTGAGTCCTCTTCTGTGGGCTCTCCACCTGTGGGGGTTTGAAGACCTCGGCCCTGGGGTGGAGCCAACAGTCTGGCTTCCCCAGAGCCTCCGGCAGCCTTCTATGAGGGGTGCACAGCCATGGGTGGGACACAGAGGGACCTGGGATGCCAGGTTGGGTGGCAAGCAGGCGGTCTCAGCCGAGCCTTAGCTGTGTCCCACAGGTCCTGGCATGGAAAGCTGCTAGGAGAGCCACTGCTGCTCAGGGTGGAGGGTCTGGGGACAGGCCATTGCTGACGCCCACTTCAGCTGCTCTTGGGCGGTGGGTTGGCTGCCCACTCACACTCCCAGCCCCTTTCTCCCGCAGAGGTCGGACCCACAGCTGCTTGCCCGGTTCTACTATGCGGATGAGGAGCTGAATCAGGTGGCCGCAGAGCTGGACAGCCTGGACGGGCGCAAGGACCCCCAGCGGTGCACGCTACTTGTCAGCCAGTTCCGCTCCTGTCAGGTAAGCTGCGATGCTGGGAGGGCAAGAGGCCTCGGTGGGCTTGGACAGAGTGTCTGTCCTCGGCTGACCAAGGGAGACTTTATCACCTGCCACATCCTGTGGGGACGTTCTCAGGGCTGACCTAGGCCAGGCACTGGAGAAACCAGACCAGGAGGAGGGCTGTCCTGAGTGCACAGTGTTCAGGCTGGAAGTGGCCAATTGCATGGGACACACGGGAGAGCAGAAGGGGTGGGAGCAGGCAGTGCCTGAGCCAAGGAGAAGGGCTGGGCTTGCCCGGGGCTCTGCATGCCCAGTCGGGTTCGCCGTGGCGGTTGTGCTCTGCCGCTGATTCACAGTGCCGCCGGCTTCTGCTGTATAATTCAGAGATGGCCCTGGAAGCTGCTGCTAAAAATATCTCAGCCAAGGTTTTCTTCTCAGCGTACCAAACATTCATGAGGCATTTCTCCCACAACAGCAAGTGGCATGGTGCAGAATTTTGTCAAGTGATAATTGGGATTTTTCACAAAGTTCCAGAATGTTCTCCATGTATTCTGCCCACAGGTCTTGCTGAATCCTTCCTTCCTGGAAGATGGGGGGGGTGACACACGCCCACCCAACAGGGGAGCATCACTGTGGTCCCGAGGGTCCCACCCTCTGTGGCCTCCTCAAGGTGGCCGAGCTGGCAGCGCCCAGCCTGGCCCTGCTCCAGTGCGGCCTCAGCAGCATTAGGAACCCATCTGTGGCCAGGACAGCTCTCTGGCCATCTCAGGCTTTGCATTCTTTTTTAAGCAGTTAAGTGGCAGCCTCCCCACCGCATGTCTATTCAGATGTTCAGACAAGCGCCTTGGGCGCAGGTGCCTCTGCAGGCCCAGGAGCTCACACTGAGAACTGCCCCGTGAGAAGGGTCCAGAAGGGAGTGACTTAAATACACACGTTCTTCTCCTTGTTGCTGGGCTGTATAAAGGGACCATGAGGGCGTGGAGATTGCCAGACCACTCGGCGTCATCTGACTCAGGGTGGCTGCTTCTTCCTCGATGCTCGCTGTCCACTCAGCTCCAGGACTCGCCCCTGCTCGCCTCCCACCCCACTGGTCACTTCTGCTCCGGCTCCTTTGTGATCGTCCTTCCCCAGCCACTTATGTTTTGGTCCTCAGCCTCTTCCTGCGCCCTCTGTGGCAGCCGCCCACTGCTCCTGGCTGTGAGCACCGTCTGTGCTGACCACCCCAGGCTACCCTCTCAGCCTCTCCTCCTCCCAGATCCAGCGTGCTCCCCAGCATTCCTCCCAGCTCCCCTGGGGACGTCTCAGCCACTCAGACCCAATGTGCCCAGAATTAACCCTAGTCCAGTTGACCCTTGAACTGGATTTGAACTGCAAGGGTCCACTTATACACAGATTTTTTCCAACCTAACACAGTTTGAGGGATGCAAAACCCACATATAGGGAGGGACTTTTCCTATGTGCGGTTCCACAGGGCTGATTGTGGCACTCAAGCGTGGGCAGGTTTGGATATATGCAGATGGTCCTGGAATCATCCCCTGCGTGTACCTAGGGATGACTATATTTCATGTCTTTTCATGGTGTTATAAATGGCATTACTTTTTAAATTTCAATTTTCAGTTGTTCGGTGGTAATACGTGGAAAAACAGTTGACTTTTGTATGTTGATCTTGTATCCCGAAGCCTTTCTGTAGGAATATAGATAAAACAGCTTTTCCCTTTCTCTCCCCTCACAGTCACTCAATGCTCTGTGACCAGATGTGGGGGTTTTTCCACACACCAAGCAATTCTCCAGCAGACACCGGCTGGGTGTCCTTGAGTTCACCTCAGTTCTGACCCTATCTACCTGGAGGTAGCCTCAGATCCCACAGGCTGAGGGCTCAGTCCCATAAGACTGCCCCCACTTCAAACACAGTCACAAGCCCTGGGTGTGGCCCGTGTTTCTGACCAACTGGCTATAAGTTGGGGTTCCCATGACCCCCTCTGGGGGTTTGATTAATTAGTTAGGCTCACAGAAATCGGGGAAACTATTTATATTTACCAGTTTATTAATAAAGGATATGGATGAATAGCCAGATAGAAGAGAGACACAGGGCGAGGTCTGGAAGGGTCCCAAGGGCAGGAGCTTCTCTTCCTGTGGAGCTGGGGTACACCACCCTCCTGGCAGGCAGGTGTGTTTGCCAACCTGGAAGCTCTCTGAACCTAGTCCTTTGGGTTTTTACGAAGGCTTCATTAAGTAGGCACAATTGATTACATCTTTGGCCCTTGGTGATCAACCTAACCTTCAGCCCCTCTCCCCTCCCCAGAAGTTGGGGGTAGGGCTGAAAGTCTTTCGAGAGACCAGCTGTCACCAGTCACCAGTCATATTACCACACAGAAGACACTCATCACTCCAGTGATTCCAAGGGTTTTTAGGAGCTGTGTGCCAGGAAGTGGGAAGAAGACCAACTATATATTCTACAATATCATACTTTCTAGGTTTACTTATTAGTTCTGACAGCATTTTTTGTAGATTCCATTAGATTTTTTTGCATAGATGATCGTGTTTTTTGCAAATAAAAATATCTTCACTTCTTTCTTTCCTATCTGGATTTTTGTGTGTGTGTGTGTGTGTGTGTGTGTGTGTGTGTGCCCTGTTGCATTGGCTAGAAATCTGGTACAATGTGTTGTATATGACAGTTATGGCATCACAAAACCAATGGTAAGCTGTGTGAAGCTGCCAAAAGTTTGAATCCCATGCTAATATATACATTCAGGCTTCTCACCATAGCTGTTCTTAGAGTTACAGTTATCTGTCACTGAAAGAAACTTTGGGCTCATCTGGCCTAATTCTCTTATTTCATGAATCAGAATACTAAATCCACTCAGACTAGGTGACTCGTCTATAATCATATGCAATAAACAGAAAACAAGGGGTCATTTGCTGGATGCCATTGCAGTAAAAGGTCAGGGTGGTTTGAACTCTTGGTGTATCAGAGAATGATAGAAGGCACATCATTTTAATTCCCTGGTAGAAAGAGGATAATAGAACCAGCTGAGTATCACAAATATGTCAAAAAGATCAAAGACAGAATTTGGCCCTGCTGTTAGTGAAAATAGATTTTAAAAAAAATACACAAGACATCAGCTACGATACTGAGAAAATGCGGAAGCCATATCAGTGGCTTGTAGTCCCTCACTGAGCAGAAGACAGATGCCAGGCCCCAGTCCCGGAGATTCTGCCCCACGTGGTCCAGGAGGAACCTCAGCATACATTGTGTGATTTTTGAATGTTAAAAAAAATTACCTCTGCAATCCTGGGATAAATCACTTGTTCATGATACATTATCTTTTTTATGTATTGTGGCGTTTAATTTCCTAAAATTTAGTTAAGAATTTTTGGATCGATGTTCATGAGGAATATTGGTCCATAGTCTTTGTCTGATTTTGGTATCAGGATAATGTTATACTCATAGAAGAGTTGGGAAGTATTCTTTCTTAAAAAAATTTTTTTTTGATACAGAGTCTTGCTCTGTCCCCGGGGCTAGAGTACAGTGGCGTCATCATAGCTCACTACAACCTCAAACTCCTGGGCTCAAGCCATCCTCCTGCCTCAGCCTCCCAAGTAGCTGGGACTACAGGTGCCACCATGCCTGGCCAATTTTTCTATTTTTGTAGAGAGGGGGTTCTCACTCTTGCTCAGGCTTGTCTTGAATTCCTGGCAATCCTCCGACCTTAGCCTCCCAAAGTGCTAAGATTACAGGTGTGAGCCACCACATCTGGCCATCTCTTCAGTTTTTTGGAAGAACTTGTGTAGAATTGGTGTCATTTCTTCCTAAATGTTTGGTGGAATTCACTACGAATCTATCTGGACCTGGAGTTTTCTTCATAGGAAGATTTTTAACTACAAATTTAATTTCTTGAGTAGATATAGGGTTTTTAAGATTATCTTTTTATTCTTGAGAGAGATTTTCTTTCAAGAAATTTCATCTAAGTTGTTGAATTTATTGGCATAAGTTTTTTTTAATATTTCCTTATAATTCTTCCAATATACATAGGATCCATAGTGAAGTCACTTCTCTTGTTCCTATTATTGATAAGTTGTGTCTTCTCTGTTTTCTTCCTGAGCTATGTTGGTAGAATTTTATCAATTCTATTGATCTTCTCAAAGGAACTGTTTTTGGCTTCATTGATTTTCTCTTTCATTAAATTTCTGTTCCGATTGTTGTTATTCCCTTTCTTCTGCTTGCTTTTGGGTTTCATTTGCTCTTTTCTTTCTAGTTTCTTAAAGTGGAAGCTGAGGTCAGGGAAAAATAAACTTTCTGCTTTTCTAATATAGACATTTAGTGTTTAAATTTCTCCGTAACTGCTGCTTTAGTGGCATTCCATAAATTTTGATGTGTTGTATTTTCACTTTCATTCCATTCAAAATTTTTTCCTATTTCCTCCTTGATTTCTTCTTTGACTTGTGAGTTACATAGAAGTGTGTTATTTAGTTTCCAAATATTTAGAGATTTTTCTGAAGATATTTCTGTTAATGATATTTAATTTAATTTCATTGTGGTCAGAGTATAAACTCTGACATGAATTATTTTTAAATTTATTGAGGCTTGTTTTATGGCCTAGAATTTGGTCTTTCTTGGTATATGTTCCACGTGCAATTGAGAAGCATGTGTGTTCTGCTGTTGTTGAGTAGAGTGTTCTATAAATGTCAGCCGTGTCAAGTTGGTTAATAGCATTGTTAAAATTTACTGTATCCTTGCTGATTTTCTGTCTATTTTCTGTGTCCTATCAATTATTGAAAGAGGAGCATTAAAATTGCTGACTGTGAATGTGGATTTGTTTATATTTTCTTACTTCATGCAGTTTGAAGCTCTATAATTAGATTCATAAATGTTAAGGATCGTTATGTGCTCCTAATAAATTGACCCCTTTATCAGTATGAAATGACTTTCTTTATTCTTGATGGTATTCTTTGTTCTGAAAGCTACTTTGATATCCATATAGCCACTCTGGCTTTCTTTTAATTGGTGTGAAGATGGTAAA